CGCTCCCTCCAGCACCGCCTCCCCCCCCACCTCCCCCACCCCCCCCCAGCGCCACCACCACCACCCTTGCCCCCCTTGCCCTTGCCGGTGCGGCGCCTCCCACCAGGAGCAGAAGCAGCGCCAACAGACTCAGCACCAAGGAAGTCAACAGCAGCAGCAGCAGCGTAGGAGGGAGCGAGGGGAGAGGGAGAACACCCCTCAAAGATGGGGGTGCGAGGAGCGCCACGAGCAGCACCAACAGCTACAATGCTCTTTTCGGCCGCGAGCAGCTGCTCCTCTAGGAGGGCGACTGTGAGCTCAGTGGGACAGCGAGCAAGGAAGTGGTCTCGAACTGAGCGGAGGGTGTCAGGGAGACGGGTGACTATGAAGTGGAGTGTCCAGTACAGTGGAGGGGGGTTCTTAGCGCAGAACTCGGTGGGAAGGGCGGCACGCAGGCGAGCATCACTAGTGCGAAGGTGGGTGATAAGATCGGCGACTGTAGTAAAGGTGGACAGATCGGGGAACAGGTACGGCAGCATGAGGCGGCTAAGCTCGGCTGTGGCAGGCGAGGAGTAGCGAGCAACGACAGCATCGTACAGGGCCTTAGCGGATTTGCAGTCGCCAAAATGCTCGAGCTCAGCTAGCGGCAGGTGACTACGAATGGCTAGGCGAGCAGCTGCGTCACGAGTCTGCCAGTGGGAACGAACACTAAGCTCGGCTGTGGCAGCAGGAGCAGCGGCAGCACCAGACGCGTAGTCATAGAGGGAGATGTGGTCCGTGCTATTGCTCATAAGATACAACTGCAGGTCGTCGAGCCAGGAAGTGAACTGCACGGGACGGCCCTCAGCATCGAAGGAAAGAACGCGAATAGAGGCCATAGCTCAGGCGTGAGGGCACAGCAGAGCAGCGGCAGCAGCAGAGGGGACGCAGCAAGCGGGCAGTGAGGCAGCGGGCGGCGCTGCGAAGCAGGTAGCGAGCATGGGCGGGCGGCGCTGCGAGCGGGCAGCGAAGCGGGCGGGCGGGCCGCGAAGCGGGCAGCGGGGCGAGCGGGCTGCGAGGCGGGCGGGCCGCGAAGCGGGCAGCGAGCGGGCGGGCGGGCTGCGAAGCGGGCGGGCCGCGAAGCGGGCAGCGAGCGGGCGGGCGGGCCGCGAAGCGGGCAGCGAGCGGGCGAGCGGGCTGCGAAGCGGGCGGGCCGCGGAGCGGGCAGCGAGCGAGCGGGCTGCGAAGCGGGCGGGCCGCGAAGCGGGCAGCGAGCGGGCGGGCGGGCTGCGTGGCGGGCGGGCCGCGAAGCGGGCAGCGAGCGGGCGGGCGGGCTGCGAAGCGGGCAGCAGGACGAGCGGGCTGCGAGCGGGCGGCTCGGCGGGCGGGCGACACTGCGAGGGGCGCGCGAGGGCGCTAGTGAGGGGCGCGCGAGGGCGCTAGCAAGGGGCGCGCGAGGGCGCTAACGAGGGGCGCGCGAGGGCGCTAACGAGGGTGCGCGCGAGGGCGCTAACGAGGGGCGCGCGAGGGCGCTAACGAGGGCGCACGAGGGCGCTACGAGGCTAGGGCACGGGGTAGCGTGGTAACCGCATGCGAGCGGTGGTGGGCCCTTAAAAAAAAAAAACGGTCGGTAGGTCCTAGGGACCTCCTGCTCTGAATACCATTTCAGAATAGCTAGGCAAGAATGGTTGAACTAGCAGAAGTTTGGGTACAAATATGAAACCCTAGTTGGGGTTGTACCCCATATTGGCTACCCCACTACAGCCTACAAGCATAATACAGTTTAACACATTTCATACACGCATGAAATTTCTACGAGAGAGCTCCGCGAGAAATACCAGCGTGATTTGCCTGCTCTGAATTTCCACGGAATTTTTCGGCGTTATGATCCATGTTAAGAACCTGGGAAAATCCCTGTAAGAAGAACAGCGAGAAATTTCCGTGAGCAATATCCGCAAGAAATACCAGCGGAAAATATCCAGGTTTCTTAACGTTTTCGCGTGTTGGTTCCCAAGGTATCCTTGCGGGTGGGTTCTAGGAATTCCCGTGGGTAAGTTCCGAGGAATTCTTGCACTGGTTCGCCTGAAATTTCCGCGGATTGAATTCCCGCGTGGGAGGTTACTGGAATTTCCGCGAGGATTTCCACGATTAGGAAGGCACAAACTTCCCCGTGTTTAGGAAATTTACTGACTTTCTGATTGCGGGAATCCCCTCGTATGTGTTCCGAGTCATTTCTGTGTGTGTGTGGGCCATGCAACGTCCATGTGTGTCTATATTTTTGTTCTTGGTTTCATATGTTATTGATTTCGTTTCGCAAATCCAAGGTTGACTGTCTCGGGGATGTGATTTCACGAGGATCGCACTTCTTCGTGAAGTTTTCTCGCGCGAGTTATGTGCAGCCACACGAAATATCTGGCGAATAAAGTTATCATGGCACGACGCCATGTGCAGACATCTCGTTTTTTCTTTGTGCTTGTGAATCACCCGAAGCCACGAAGTAGGAGGTGAAAGTGAGTAGCATGTGTCGAAAACACACGTGCACGTGGGAGCTTCCCCAGATGTTTTTCGCGTGGAAAATCAGGGGAGCAACAGCCAATGAGCAATCATCGATTGCTGGTTACGAATACGTTTTCTAGGGTATGTTCCACCCCGTAGCGCTGGGACCACACTACCATGGGGCGGCCAAACTCGGTGGTGCTACCGTCCCAGCCGCGCAGTTTCCTGCTCGAAAACGCTCCCCTCGCCATCGCCCAACCACCCCCCTATTATATATACCCCACTTTATGTCAGAATCCCAGCCACTAACCACTGGGATAAAAAGGCTTGTTTGTGTAGCGGGTGAGTGCGCCCATAACCCCCCAGGCCAACGTGCCTGTAACCCTTCCCTAGGATCAATCGGGGATCACCAGTGGACCTCTAACACCCCCCCGCACTGGGATGCCCGAGGTGCACACACCGGGATTCGAACCCGAGACCTTCGCTCTGATACCATGTCAGAATCCCAGCCACTAACCACTGGGATAAAAGGGCTTGTTTGTGTAGCGGGTGAGTGCGCCCATAACCCCCCAGGCCAACGTGCCTGTAACCCTTCCCTAGGATCAATCGGGGATCACCAGTGGACCTCTGACACTTTAGTGATATCATAGGCTTATCTGGTTGGTTCTAGGGCTGGACATTCGGGCGCGATCCCTCCCTCGATCGATCCCGCCTCGATCGATCGAGGGACGGGCACAGTGTCGCAATTGACAGAGTAACCAGATTTCGAGATGGCTAGCGAATGTACAGTAACTGGGGCCCAACGATCTTGTTACCTCCGATGTGCCTTCCTGGCCACACCGATCTCGGCTTTTGTAGGATCGAGATTTTCCCCCCCTTGAATTCTCGATCCTGACACCCTGGGCTCGAGATCGATCCGCGATCGTCATCTCTTACCAATCCCGCCCCAATCCTGCGATCAGTGTGCCCGATCGGTTTTTCACGTCGATCTTGCGATCAATCGAGGGAGGGGACGCACCCTTAGATAGATGTCATGTATATAATCATTGGACATTGCCATGTTCCTAATCTTAGAAATCTGAATGGCGACCTGCTTGAGGCGCCCTTGCTGTTATCCTAGTACATTAGGCGATGCCAAAATGTTGTAAACTATCATACGATTGTTAATAGAGTGACCTTGCTTTGTTCATCCTTCAATTCCTCTGAGAGTGATTTCTAGTTCTGGTTCTCAGCTCAGACAGCTTTGTGGTTGTTTCTGTCGGGAAGGTGAGGTATGGCTGGTCTGATACGGCTGTGTCGCAATCGCCGCTTGCCTGTGTAATCGCCGTTTTCTTTCTTCTATCCGTCGCGCTGTAGGTACCAACCACTGTTGCTGTAACGTATCACCTAGTCTACAGCTCCCTAGTTTCTCTAATCGCCCAACTAAGCTAAGCGCGACCTACGCTAGCTAGAAAGTGTCGAGGGGAATTGTGTGCAGGGAAGCTAGAGTGGTTGGATGGGTAATGTTTGTAACCACCCACCACTAAAAGACAAACCATGTTGGAAAACGTTCCAACCATCTCATTGGTTGGGATTCCAACCAATCAGTATTGTGCAGCCATACTGTTACACCTTATCTTGCAAATGTGTGCATGTGCTCAATGTTAATTGGCTTACAACATATTTCCTTGCCACCTAAGCAACCCCACCTTACGAGCTCCTCGACCTTGTGGCCATGGAGGAGGAGAAGCCCCCTAGGGAGGTATTGGAAGGGGTCTGAGCCAACAGCTCATTCATCCCTTTCCAACTTCCAACTAAACAATATTGGAAATGGGATTTTGTCAAAGTCATTTCTTTTCTCCTCACAAGTCTAGCAAGTACTATTCCCACATGTGACAAGTTACTCAAGCAAGATTTTGCTTGGCTGAACTCTACTCCTATTTCTTCATAGTCTCTACTCAAGAGCTCTTTGCCACCTTCATAGTGGTTACTATTACGAGGAGTATCTCTTGTCATTTCATATTGCAATTTCATAAACTAAGCTATTTTAATCCTACGGCCCGTTGGTTATAAGGGCAAGGCTGTTACATTGGTATAAAGAGCATTGGTTGGTCCTTACCCTTGTGTGGATTGATCTTTGGATTTTTTTTATATTTCTTCTTTTTGAGCCAAGGGCTCTAGATAGCTTTTTAAGCATCTTGAAGAGAAGATATCAAGACTTGAAGAGCTGAAGACTACAAGTTTTCCAGCTATAAATCTTCAAGCAATCTGAAGAGAGTGAGATCTCTCTTGCCCACCATTCCTTGGTAGATGAGTCTCATTGATCTTAAGATCTTGTTGGGGATATACTCTTCTTTAGTATACCTACTCTGTCACTTGATAAAAAGCTTAACAACAAGAATACTGTGTTGAGAACATCTTAAAAGTTTCTGTTACGAGTGCTCTTTAAAGAGACTCTTCTTTTATTATTATTTGGTGATGAGATTAAACATAAATTTAAGATTTCCAACATTTGAGATCTATAAAGAGTAACCCTCCTTGACCCATCCATGGCTAATAGCCAAGAAATGGAAGCTACTAGGGAGTATGGTCCCCCTGCTGCCACTGACGCTGGCCACACCCCTGCTGATATTGATCTCAACCTTGATGAGGCAATGGGAGATTTGGAGATAAATATCAGTGAGGAGGATGCTGCTGAAAATCTACATGAAGATGCTGAAAACGGGGATGACAATGCTGAAAACGGGGATGATAATGCTGAAAAACAGCAAGATGCTGAAGCAGCAGCAGTAAGAAGGCTCTGAGGCAAAGGCTGAATATAAGGACCCTCTTGCTGTAGAGCTTGAGAAACAACAATCTCAAGTGTCTAACCAACACATCACAATTGTGAAGCAGCAATGCCTCATTGATGGGTTGAGGACCGAGCTGTCGGTGCAGCAAGCGCAAGCTCTCGATTTGAAAGCTCAAATGAGCCATGTTGCTCACAATACTTGCGACCACACCCGCATACTGGCTTCCAAGTCTCGCTAGATCAATGAGTTGCAGAAAACTTGCAGGCAACTGCAGGCTACATGCGCGCAGCTGCAAGCTCAGTACAGGGATTTGAGGCGTGCAAACATCTACCGCCCTGCTCCTAATGTCGGACGTCCTTCAGCGTCGACGAGCGAACCCGCCGCCGCTCATGCTGTAGCTCCTGCCCCAGCAGCAGCGCCTGCTCCTATGACGTCTTCCCAGTACCCTCCTAGGTTCGCGCCACCTGCCTTTGGCTCCCGTAACACCGCCTTACCTAGGTTAGTTCCTGGCAAGACGGATGTAGAAACGTGGCTCTCCCTTGCGGTTGATACAATGGCTCATCACAAGCTGCGTCGTGACGCGTACGTGGTGGCTGCTATAGTCGCATTGAATGAGAAGGCAGGCAAGCTAGTTTATGCTAGCAAGCACCAAGCTGAGGCCAAGTCCGAGCGTTCGGTTGGGAGGAGTTTTGTGCTGCGATGAGGTTGGCGTTCTTGGTGCAAACACCAGAGCTAGAGGTGCGCAACCGTTTGGAGAACACCTCATGCGGAGACAGGCCGGTGCAGGAGTACGCCAACAAGTTTGAAAGCACTCTGGTAATGCTGAAGGACTCTCTGCCTGAGCTTGAACTCATTTATATATTCTTCAATGGGCTGCCCGAACACATCCGGACCATGCACATTGCTAAGGGGCAGCACCAGTACAACACGTATAAGGAGTGGAAGGAGGACGTGATAGAAACGGATGTGCATTTCCGTGCTAACCTCAACAAGCCTAAGCAACAGCAACAGCAGCAGCAGCAGCCTAGGGCCGATGGTGCTAGTGGCACTGGCTCTCGGTCCCAGCCACCGAAGGGCAAAGGTCCTTGGAACAAACGCCCTTTCCAGCAGCGCGGTGAGCCATCTGGGTCCCAGCCCAAAAGGCCGAATGGGGGAGGATCAAAATCCCCCAAGGGATCAGAAAGGCCTCGCAAGCTCTGCGAGAAGTATGGCAAGTCAAACCACGAGGCCTGGTAGTGCCGCTCGAGGAAGAGAATCAATGACTCTTTTCAGCACAACAAGGGTGGCAAGCCAGGAGGTGCTGGTCCTTCGGGTTTGAAGGATTTTCAGAAACCCAACTAGGGTGTGGATACCTAGTGGGTCAAGTAGATCGAGGGGATGAGGCTTATGTTTTGCTTGACGAGGATTTGTTAAAGCTAGAAACTATTGCTGCGAACAAAATTTCTTGTGTGTTTGCCTCTTCTTTTAATAAAAACTCCCTATTTTCATCTCGATCGTATCCACTAGAAAGAGTTTCAATTGAAGCATTGACAGATAAATTCTCTATCATTTACAGAGTCTAAGCATCTAGGATGTGCGCACCATAAAATCAAGGTGTATTATCGCCCGCCAACAACTGTTGTGGCGTGTCCTATTCGCCCGAGATACCAACAAAATTTATTGTTGACGGGACGAATGAAGGGCGAGCATGCAAAAATCCTAGTCGATACTGACGCTTCGGTATTGTTACTCGACGAAAGTTGGGCAACAGCACATGGAGTCCTCGTTGAAGGACCGTCGTGTCCCATTCGTCTTGGTGATGACAGAGTCATCCCAAGCAAAGGACAGACGCATGTCGACATGGAGATAGGCGGATATCGTAAAACCATTTGCGTCTACGTCCTACCACTTCTTGCAGACGTAGATCTTGTTCTTGGAATGGATAGGTTAAGATCCAACGAGGTGATCCTCGATTTCCAACATAATCTTGTCTCATTCACTAAGAATGGTAAATCATTCTAATGGCAAGTCCGTGAGAATGAACGCAGCTTGGTTAAAACCAAGAACAGAGCATGCTGATGTGTGCGTCGCTTTAGCGAACGGATTCGGAAATCATTACCGCACAGCTGATACTCTCTTCGTAGTGTAGCTTGAAAGTGTCAATAACCGGCTACCCGAGATCGAGGATTTTCAACCTCAAATGAAGGTGTTAGCAGAGGAGGAATTTAAGGAGGTGTTCGAGTCAATTCCGGACGGTCTCTCTCCAGATCGTGCCGTAGGGCATACCACTCTGGTGGAACCAGGGAAAATCCCACCGTTTCGACCTCTACATCGTCTCAGCCTAGCTGAGTACGAAGAGGCTAAGCAACAAATTCTGTTATACTTGAAGAAAAGATGGATTGAGCCGAGTGCTTCTCCGTACGGAGCACCAATCTTGTTCGTGAATAAAAAGGGCGGGGGATCACGCATGTGCGTTGACTACCGTGCCATGAACAAGATTAAAAACAGATTTCCTCTTCCTCGCATCGAGGATCTGTTTGATCGAGTCCAAGGTGCACAATGGTTCAGCGCATTAGACCTCGCACAGGGGTATCACCAGTTGCACATTATCGAGAGGGTTGTACCGAAGACGGCTTTCCAGACGTCGTTTGGCCATTTCCAGTGGCGTGTGTCACGTTTCGGCCTACCCAATGCCCCAGCCTTCTTTCAAAGAGCCATGAACGATGTGTTTGGGAGGCGATTGATAAATTTGTCTTCGTTTACCTAGATGATATCTTGGTATACTCGAAGACAGAAGACGAGCACATGGAACACCTCAAGTGGGTGTTAGGGAAGTTACAAGAACAACAAATTCTATGCGCGATTGTGGAAATGTCATTTCTACAAGCGAGAGCTTGAGTACCTCGGACATATCGTGAGTAGTGATGGATTAAAGGTGGATCCAAAGAAAGTGGAAGTTGTCGAAAGCTAGCCGACCTCGCAAGACGTGGGCCAAGTTCGGTCATTCCTCAGACTTGCCAACTATTTTCGTCGCTTTCTTGAAAACTACTCGACGATTGTGGCTCCATTGACAACACTCACTCGTAAGGGTAGTGCTTGGGAATGGACCACTAAATGCGACAAAGCATTTAATAAGGTCAAGCAGAAATTGACCAACGCTCCAGTGTTGGTTTTGCCAGACCCATCCAAGCCGTATGAGGTGGTCACTGATGCCTATACAGTAGGGATTGGAGCAATCCTTTTGCAAGAAGGACGACAGGTGGCATTTGAGAGTAGAAGCTCTCCCCGGCAGAGCAACGCTATACGACCTCCGAACAGGAGTTACTGGCAGTCGTACACGCGCTAAGAACATGGCGTTGTTATCTTGAAGGTGTGGATTTTGTGGTCACAACAGACTACTGTCTGAACACCTACTTTACGTCACAAGCCACTCTCACTCGACGTCAAGCTCGATGGGCCGAACTCATGAGTGGATTCACATACGATATAAGGTATCGTGTTGGCTCGACAAATATGGCTGACCCCCTTAGCAAATAACCAATCGGGGCAGCCACAGGGTTCGATGACGTTGAACACGCTGCCATGTTTGCCGCGTGCTTCAATGTCTTCACAACCGCGCAAGTGAGTGAAGTCACCTTCAGTGGTTTTCTGAAACGCATCCGCACAGGGTATGCCATTGACTCCTGGTTTTGGAACCTACAAAATACGAAAACCCTTCAATGGGAGCATGAGCCCTGAGCCAATAGCTCATTCCTCCCTTTCCATCTTCTAGCTAGACAATATTGGAAATGGGATTTTGTCTAAGGCATTTCTTTTCTCCTCACAACTCTAGCAAGCACTACTCCCACATGTGACAAGTTACTCAAGCAAGATTTTGCTTGGCTGAAACTCTAATCCTATTTCTTCAAAGTCTCTACTCAAGAGCTCTACGCCACCTTCATTGTGGTTACTATTACGAGGAGTATCTCTTGTCATTTCAAGATCATATATTGCAATTTTATAAACTACGCTATTTTAAGCCTACAGCGAGTTGGTTAGAAGGGCAAGGCTGTTACAGTTGCTGCCCACTACCGCTCCCCCTGCCGCACTTCCCACAGCCTGCTTCCCCCGCCTCTCGGCTTCCCCGCTTCCTCGCTTCCCTTCTTCTCCGTTTCCCCCGCGTCCCCGCTTCCCCGCGTCCCTGCTTCCCCGCTTCTCCCCTTCCCTGCTTCCCCGCTTCCCCGCTTCCCACTTCTCCGCTTCCCCGCTTCCTCATTTCCCCCCTTCCCCGCCTCCCCGCTTCCCCGCCTCCCCACTTCCCCGCCTCCCCGCTTCCCCGCTTCCCCGCTTTTCCGCTTCTCCGTTTCCCCGCTTCTCCGCTTCTCTCTGCTTCCTCCACTGCCTCCACTGCATCTAGTACCTCGACCTCTTGCACGCGCGTGCGTGCGGCCAGGCGCTGCCGTCACCTTTGCGTCCATGTGTCCAGATCCAAGTGTCGATGACGTTATCAGCAATCTCCAAGTGCACCAGTAACGTCAGCGGCCCTCCGCTATGCGCGAAGCTGCTCCCCTAGGCCACCGCCACCTTGAGTTCCGCCACCTCCCGCGCATTTTCCGCCTCCACCAGCAGCGCCGGGCGTTGCGCGCAAGCTGGGGGCGGGGGGACAGGCGCAGCGAAAGGACCCGGCGGAGGGGGGAACCTCACGGCGATCAAGAAGCTCCTCACACGCACAGGCGCGCCGGTGAAGGATGTCAAGGCGCGGGCGGCAGCGGAGGGGCTGGTGGGTGTGGCGTTACTGTGGGGCGTGGGGGCGGCTGTGGAGGTGAACAGCGAGTCGGACTACGTTGCCTGCAGCGACCTCTTTCAGATGCTTGTGAATGCCACTTGTTGGGGCTATGCTTGAGCAATGAAGCACGATCCTTCACGTAGATGCCTACACCGAATTACAGTTGAGATGGTTCGTCGGATAAGATTGTTAGCAAGAACGACCCTTTCAAGTGCATGCGAGTGAGTGGGGGTTCACAAGTGGACCTGTAAGCTGGTTTGCGAGGTGG